TTTATATAAATTAATTGGCTAAATTTTAATGATTTAATTACACAATCCTATTAACCAATAATTATTTTTAACTCTTGATTTTTACATCTGTTCAGTTTTTATAGTTTTTATTGTTTAGGTAAAAATGTTAACGATTTGATCTGGTCTAGTTTAATCTGATTCCATGTACCATATACTTCCGAAATTAAGCACCTAAATTTATGAATATGCTAAAAATAAGCACTCCTTGAAAAAATTAAAATTAATGATTTTTTTTATTTTTAAAGTATTATCATGTGAAATTAACAGTTCAACAAAGAAAAATGCAATTTTATTTATTCATTTATATCATCACTAATATTAATTATCTTTCAAATTATCATCACTTACATCATTCTCAAAATCGCTAACATTATTTTCCAAATCACTAATATCAGTAATTTCTAAATCACCCTCAATTTCTTTATCGGAATCCCCTATATCATCTAACGTATTGGAAATTCCACAAGTCTTGAAAGAATCTATGATAATTTTGGTAGAGATTCCCTTTCAAGAACATTTCACCTATCCACATATGTCTCCAAGTTTAGCTCAGCAGCTGTCTGTCTAGCATCACCAGCGGCCATCCATAGATACTATTCCTTACGTAAGTTATTTTTAAATGGTTTATTTATAGTAATGTCAAGTGGTTGACATAAACTTATCAATTCACTGAGTATAACGACTAAATCAAATCCACAATCGTGAAATTTCTGTTTTACTGATTTCTTCAGGTGTTCACAAAAAGAATCGTAAATCATTAACATCAGAGCCCTGGATCCATCAACATCTTTGACATCTTTAAGATAATCAACATACCATTTCATCAATTCAGAATCCATTCAACTATTTATTTAAAATCAAATGAATACATCGGGAGGTATATTTTCATCTTTTTGTAATCACTTCCCTTTAAAGATGCAGATTGGAAGAAACTTTGTATCATCTACAGTAAAAAAAAATTTAATGTTAAATAAAACAAAATAAAAAATTCAAAAATCAAGAATATCTTTGAAAATCAAAAGAATCATTGAAATTAAAAAAAAATATGTTTGAAATATCTCCAAATACATCAAATCCTTTAATTAAAAATCAGAATTGTAAGCCTAAAAGTTAGAACCATAAGCCTGAAAAATTGGAGCTATAAGTCTAAAAATCACTATAAGTCTACAAATTGGAATTATAAGCTTAAAATCACTAAAGATTTGTATAGATCTATAATAAAATCTAAAATCAGAATCATAAAATCTTAGAAATGGAATCACGAAACTATCATAATACCATAACTTGAAATCGGAATATAAAGCTTAGAAAAAAATTTTGATTAGAATAGAACTCGTTAAATTTAATTTCATATAATAAACTTAAAAACTATTTACCGTGACCTACCTGCTGCACACGTCAAAACCACTTTAAATCAGGTTTTATTATTACCAGTACTGCAAATATGAACTGTTTTCTCCCTTTAGATTGATAGTAAAGTTACCCACCATGTTAAATCATATCAGTATTTTGTTTATATTAAGAATGTTGACCAATTCGAAGGATTTTTTAGTTCTTGAACAGGTAACAAATTGATAGAATTTGGCTAATAATTCTTCTGTTTGACTCAGAAGCTTTTGGGAAATTTTTGTACATCTCCTCTAAGATAGTTTATACCTTTTCAGAAAATAGGACAGCCATCGATCTGACATTCTAAAATCTTTTGCTGAATCTCCATACAAATTTACCATTTCAGGTGTCTCCATAATTTCTTGCATTTTAACTCATAAGATCATATAAGTGACTGCCAATCCTTGTTTTCTTTGCTCAATAACCCAAGTATACAACTTACCTTCAGCCTCAGGATTAGTGATACCTGACTAAACTCTTTTTTGAAAAATTGTAATTTCGTCAAAAGTTTCGTCTTTTTAATATCTTTATATGAATAAATATAAAATTATTATATTTTTTAATGTATTTTAATTCAAGGAATTTAGATCAAGTTAAATATAATTTTGGCAATTAAGTAAAATAATTTCGTCATTAATAAAAAACTAGTTTCATCATTTCAGTTTTGTCAATTTCGTCATATTAAGAAAGGTAATTTCATCAGGTATCACTACTCAGGATAAAAGGCTTTTCGACCTGAGCTAATTCGTTTGCTGTCTTGTTTTATTTTGGTATTCTAATTTTCACTTGCTTTTAGCCAATGACTTACTATACTAGTATCAAGTTGAAAATGGTCTGCCACTTCGTTTCATCCATGCTGCTTAGCGTAAGTGATTGCTTGATTCTTTTGAGTAATAGAATATGGAGCACAATTACGTTTGATACTTTATTAACTTTGCGTATTCTTGTCATTTTTCGTGAGAAGGTTACCGAAACGTGTTTCACGTTATGAAATAAATTATTTGGTTGCATAAGATCATTTGGTTACGTGGAATAATCATTTTGTGTAGTTTCAAATATCATTTTGGCGACGCAATTTCGAAGAGAAAATTTTTTAAAAAAACCATTCGAAATTAAGCATCCCATAGTAGAAAGGTGATGCTTAATTTCAGAAGTATATGGTAATCTAAGAGGTAAAATCAGACTATGAACTGAATTTAATAATTTTATGAATCGGTCTGTAACTGAAATTTAAACCAAAAAAATTTATAAAACTTATTTATTATTATAAAACAAAAAATTTAAACAAAGAAAAAATACTATTTTAAGATTTTTTAATAATATTTTTTTTTTTCAATAATCCAATTTCTTGTACAAATTATGGCTTTTACTATTTCAGAATCTAATCTATTTCTAGTTCTTGAAATAGTTAATCTGAAATTGAAAAGACCATTTCTAAAGGAATCAATGTTAAATAATTATTAATAATACTGGATAATTCTTTTCATAAGTTCTTTATCAAATTAAAGGATCAGCATTACTATCTATCAGAGTGGTCATATATCTATTTAATTTATCATATGATATTACTTGATTAATATTATTTGGATGAAATAAATTGAAAAAATAATCTTTAAAAGTTAATTTAACTTTGGATATTATTTGATTATTATTTAAGGGTAAGTATGATATATATAATTCTTGTAATTATTAATAATTTTAAATAAATTATTCTCAAATAATAAGATTTTGTAATAAGGATCTAATATTGAAGAAATTATAGAAGATTAATTTAAATGTTTATTTCAATAATTTTTAGCTGACATAATTTTCTTTTATGTATGATAGTTTTCTCTTTGATAATATTTCAATTTTTTAAACATTTTTATAAAAAAACTAATCTTATATTACCTTATGTAGAATTTGTTAATGATAATAATAAATTAGTTGTCTTATACATAAGTTGCAAGATTATTGATAATTCCTAAAAAAAAATATGAAAATTAATAATTAATTAAAAAGAAAATTATAATTATTATAAAATAAAATATACCTTAATATAATGTTATTTAGAAATTACTGGAAATAAACTATTAAGTTCATCAAAATTCATTATTGTAAAAGATTTCTAAAATATCCTGCATTAAAATCTGTCAAGATATCATTAAATATGTAGAATTCCAATAGGTATCTACATCTAAAATTAGTTTTAGAAATTTAATTTTCTTAAAAGTACAAATTTCTGATAATTTGTCTAATAGTAAGAGTAAATTTTTTACTTTAATGACAAATTGGTTAAACTTTTTAATTTTATTTCTAACAAATTTTATTCCTGCTAAAGATGAAGGATAAAACTCAAAAAGGCAATTATTAAACAGCTGAAACTATATTAAAATATAGTGAGGATACGACGAAACCCTGAAACTCGAAATTAGCCAAAACTATATTAAAAACATAGTAAGGGATATGACGAAATTATTTTGAGGGAGTTTCGACTAGCATCTTTAATTCTTGCTTGTATTTCTAAATTAATAATATAGGTAGCACATTAATAATGATTAAAGTTTATATTATTAAATTTTTGATCTAATTCAAATACTAGTTAATACTATATTATCTCTATTATTTGTTGTTGATGCAAGTATATTTATTATTATTAATTTTGAATTCTTCAAGAATTTATCAAAGGTTATAAGTAATTAATTCAGCAGTATGAGATCTCTTTATAGGAATTATATGTATTAAGCAAAAAATTTTCAATTTCCAATTAGGAATAATATAATACATTGTTATTTCAAGATAACAATTTTTTGAAACATCTAAAGTCTATATGTCTGTTATAAGAAATACCTTTAAATAAATTTGAGAAATTTCATCTATTAAATCATTTTCTTTATATCATAATTTTTCATAAAAATTTCTTTGAAAGTTTGTCTATATAATAAAATATAATAAGAATCCAATTTGTTGACTAGCAATATAAGTTACGGATTTTCAACAATAGTAAAAGGTTTTAAATCAGTTGTAACATAATCAATCAAAAGATTTGTAATATGCTTTAATTGTAATAAAGAATAAGGTTTAAAGCATAAGGTAATTTGATAAGATTCAGGTTTTTTGTATAATATTGAATGTTTATTTATTAAATGACGTCAAAGGGTAGTTATTGAATTATCAGTTGAATAAAGTTTTGCACATAAAATGCATTTGTAGTTTTAATTGTCCTATTTTTCTCATTTTAAACTCTATGAAAAAATCTCATACATCTGAATTGTGAGCTTTTATATTTGTGAGAGTTTCCTTTTCAGTTATTAAAAAATTAGAGGTAACATCTGAATTATTGTCATTATTTTGATTATTTTCAAATGAAATTATGCCAGACATAGTTGCTCAATAAATGCAAATTAAAAAATTTTTTATTTTAATTAGACGTGTAAAAACACATAGATAATCATTTGATAATCTAATTGAACTAGTTTTTAAGATTACAGTTTATCAATCTGATCTCATTTCAGTCTACTTCTCAAATTGGATCGAAACTAATCCTATGATCAGGACCGGTCTAAACCATCTAATATTAAACCATTAACATTTCTAGTTTTAGATGGAAATTATTTTTCTCTTCCAGTTAGGGTTGATAAAGTCCTAAAAAGTTCTAATTGGTCTTTATAAATTTTAAAAATAAATTTTTATTTATATACTATTAATTAAATTATTTAATAATAAATTTATCTTTTTAATTATTATATTAAATATTAATTTAAAATAAAAAAATTCTTTAAAAATTAGAAATATATTTAATTTAGGACCTGGTCCTAGAACCTAGGTTCTAAATCTAATATTTAAAGATTTTTTAAATTTTAAAAAAGAAATTTTTATTTTATTTTACTAAGTTACATTAATTAAAAAAATTATTTATGATAATATTTAAAAAAAATTAATCTTTAAAACTAATAATTTTTTTTTAAAATTAATCAGGACCAATTAGGACTTTTTAAGACTTTTCCAACCCCAGTTCCGGTTGATATCAAGTTCTGAACATTTTGCTCTTCAAGATGAAATCAAAAAGAAGAAAGAAAATGACTTTCGCGGTATTGATTCCGATAACCTGACGTTATGGAAAGTTGAAGAACGCAGCAATTGATATCGCTATCATTGCAAAATACATCGGTGCAGAGTTCTTAAACCCAATATATAAATAATATCACTAAAATTTCTCAAAAAATTATTATACTCCTTCATAAGAGCACATCCACCAAAAAACAAACCAACAAACCAAATGAATCAACAAAAAAACCATTATCATTATCTAATAAAGGTATTTTGGAATTATCTTATCTCTCGGCCAAATGGACTTTAGAATTACATAAATATTCTATAAACGCATTATTAAGTTTATTAGTATTTCATATGTTTTACGAGATGATTATTGATAATATTTTCACAAATGTTAAAGGATGATCAAAAAAATTATCGCATTTATGAAAAGTAATAAGGAACTTGCTATGAATCTTATGTATAATTTTGTTGAGAGGATTCCACTGCTTAGATGAAAAGCTAAACTTATAGTCAAAGATATGCAAAGTGATGGGCATTTTTTTCTCTCTCCTTATATCTTATTGAAATTCCATTTACAATGATATCTTGAGGATTGTTGATGTGGAACTTACAAAGAAGACCTTTCAAGTAAATCATTGCATGTATGGGCAAGAATGGGAATTATTTGTAGCACATCACATTGCCTTTCGCATCAATCTGGCCATTATAATGGGAAAGTAGAAACTATATTTTCGAGAATTACACTCACCTCCAAACTACATTAATGAAATATTCATGTTAACCATCGGATGAAAATATTAAATCCCCAAAATAGAAAAATATTATGTAAAATCAATAAATTATTTCACTACTTTTATTAGTAAAAACGATACATAATGAGAATTATTTTTTTACCTCAAAGATAAATTATATTATCAAAATGTTTTGACATTCGTACACGAACTTGTCGCATAAAACTGATCTATTGTTATTTGATACTTTTCAATTTGAACTGATGAACCACTTTCAATTACATAAGGTATCTTTGAAAGATCAGGTACATGAACCATGTGATGTCCAAAATATATTTTGCCCTATTAAGATATAATATTTTTATTAATATATATATATTTTTTTAGTATCTATAACAAATTAATAAAAATATTTCGTACCTTGAATCGTCGACAGCGAGCCAACATAGAATATGGCTCTTTAGTTACTTCTGCATTCTCGTGATTTATACAAACCATACGACACCTCCTGCACGGACCAATAATCTAAGAAATCATAAATATAATATAACTTGAGAATTTAAACACAATTTATCAATGATTAATTGATTACATCTGACGTTACTTTAAAAACTTGTCCACCGAATCGAACCATTTTCCATTGATCTTCTTCGAATTCCTTTGCTCCATGAATTAAAAAATTTCCACGAAAGCAATCCGGTTTCACTTCACAATTTCCTTCTTTTTTGATTTTTTTATTAACATAATCAACGCTTGAATGTGAAATCATTAAAAATGGTGATTCATTTGATAAAGACAGAGGCGCATTTTCAGACGCGTCAAGGTGTGGTTTGATAAAACGACGCTGCAATAAGCTGTCATTTGTCATAGACGCATGTCGCGCTAGACGACAGGATAAACCGAGAAAAGACGAAAACCATTCACTAATTTTAGGTGATGTATATATAAATGCCTGAACTCTGCGATTTTATGAAGGAAAATTATAAATATAAATGAAATAATAGATTAAATAAATAACAAATCATGTTAAGTTTATATTACTTGTCACCACAAACTTGTGAGGAATACATGGAAAGCTCGACCCCGTTGGGATCCAAATTAATGTACAATGGGTCCTGATCTAATCGTATCCATAAATATTAAAGATGATGACCTTGTTAATATCTTAAAATATTCATAAATCGCACATACCAGGAGCTGATACTAAAAGTAACCCTTTGTCTCTTAAAATAACTGGACGAATTAAAGTCATTCGAGGAAAACTAATACATAATAGATTCAAAGGAAAGATGTTAAGGTAAAAATCACCTTCCAAAACATGAAGAGAACTTGTCAAAATTTACATTTTCTGACTTAATGCTTTTCCATTCCCTGCATCTACCAACATCCATTCACGATCATACAACAACCCTTGACTAGTTATAGGCCATGAAGTAAATGGTGAAATGTTAAATCCATGACATGATTTAATTGGAACTTATGAAATTGAATTGTTAGAATTCAAGAAGATAAATTTAAACATTTTAAGAATAATATTTACTTACATAAAGTTACTTTCTCTAAAACCAAATTTTGGTCAGATGAAGTAGAGCTGTTTTCATCAATGTTCTGAGTCATAGAATAAGGTGGTGATGCCTCTACAAAATATTTTTTAAAGAAATCCATCCATACAAGAATATCATCAATTGTCGACATGGCACCAACAGAAATCCGAACTGCCCCCGCTGGTTTTCCATCCCACATATCTTGCTCATCATGACATGTTTTACCACAAGCAAAGCTATCTATGATGTTTTCAGGATATAACTTTATCCACCTCGCAACACTACCAGGATTACAGAGTATACCTGATCTAATGTGAATACCATTAACACTTGCTAACCTTTCTAATTCAAGGTATCCAACCCAAGATCCATCTGCGCGCTTTACATTAAAACTGAAAACAGGACCTTGAAGTGTATTGTCTGAGAAATCATTGTCTGAGTAGATAACACAAACCGAGTGTCCATTATAATGTTTTAGAGATTTCATATTTCGACTGAGATAAATAATTAAAGAGGTGACATGATTTTTGATAAAATTGAAGTTATTAAATAGACGTTCCGATGTATCAAACGCGTGATCTAAAGCAATAATATCAAGGAAATTAATTGTGCCATCTTCATAACGTTCATGTAATGATTTACGAAATTTCTGCCACGGTCTATCATACGCAATTGAATCGACTATAAAACGGAAAATATGTTTATTATTGTAATGAATAGTTATATAATATACTATAAGGTAAATAAAAATACTTACGAGTGCCACCACCAAAGTACCTCTTTCTCAATATTGGTTCTAATTCACTCTTTACTATCAATGCTCCTAATCCAGTAGGATAACCAAACATCTTATAGAAACTAATAGTAATAAAATCTGGAGATGTATCTATTTCGGACAACGATAGCAAAGACGATGAAACATAAGCAGCAGCATCCAACAATACTAAAGTCTTTGAATCGATATTTTTATTATTAAATTTTTTGATTTCACGAGTCCAAGTTAAAGGAAACCTTATTCCAGAAAAATTACACTGTGCTGGATAAGCGAAGAGGTTGTACGTTATATTGTGATTATCACGTGGTAGGTGTTTGATTTGTAACCTTTGTGGATCACTATCAAATACGGAAAAGAAATCATCCTTCGTTATCGTTTGAATACTTTGAGCATTGAATTCCTCGGCAAATCTTCTTAACCCAATGATACTGTTATGGGATTCCCTCAAGTACTTATAAGAGCTTTGACCCGATGTCCATGGAAATATTTCTCCAACTAATTTGATAGCAGCCGTGGCATTTTGAGTGAATATTACTTGATAGTTATCCGGATTGGAATTAAAATGTCTGAGAACTCGATCACGGATTTGATCTAGCCTTTGATTACACCGTTGCGAACTAGGTGAATTCGCGTGAGGATTACCATACAAGTTACTAGTAAGGTCAGTAGTAAAAGATGTAAGAGAACTTTTGGCATAAGTGGTTGTCGCGGAATGGTCAAGAAAAATGGCCCCTGAGATATTTGAAAGTAAGAATTATAATGTCATTACGAATTGAATAGCAGCTATGAAGATTTACCGTTAAGTTGGGGATATTCTTCTTCCCGTATCTGATCTATTTTACCGCCGTAACCATACTGTAAATCAAATTCCTTTAGGAAAGCGGCCTTTTCTGTATAGATGTTTTCAAAGTTTGGTTTGTATTCAAGAGAATCAAAAAATTTTTGAGCCATGATATTTAATTTTCTGTGAATCACCTTAAATTGAAAATTACAGCATGAACTGTGTGATCGAACTTACCGATATGTTTACCCAATTGTTTTTCCACTTACTCATAAATGGGATTTATACATAATGAAAATAGTAAGGGTGTGACATGAGTAACATAGTGAAATTTAATACTGGTCTGGCGCAGCGAGCAATTTTCCCACATATCACTAAAACAGAATGGTAAATATTATAAGAAACAATAATGTCGCAATATCAGTTACAGACAAAGCTCGTTATAGTGAATCCCGTTATAGTAAAATCACATTATAGTGAATTATTTTTAATTTACCAATTTAATTTTTCATAATAACAAAAATGATCAGAACTAAGAGTTCACTATAAAGAGCTTTGACTGTATATGGTTTAGCATTCGAATCCCAAAGCATCATATATTTCGGCTTTCTCTGTTAATTGTCACACTTACTGCATTTTGAATATCAATGAAGTTGGCTTCATGTTATTTAACTTCAATAATACTAATTAATTTGAATTATACTTGTATATAAATTGGTAAAAAAAAATATGTTTTTTTTGTTTTAATAAATTTATTAATATAAGGCCATTTTTATGAGGTAAGACGGAAAGTTGTAGAGTATGTTCGATCAATTTAGTATTGTATGGTATATAATTAATGTTGAGTATGACCTTTTATACTTAATTGCTAGGAGTTAACGTTAATATTGATAAGTTAGGGTTAGTTTAGGTCTGCTTAGTATAACAAAAATATACTCAAAACCATTTCACGTGATATACTATACTCATTTGGTCGACAACTTTCCGAATCACTCATTTTTATGAATATTAAATTAGATTAACAGTTTTTTTAAATATAATAAATGTTTCTTAGTAAACATAAATTTTCATGTTTAATTTCAAATTATGAATATTATATTTAAATATGATATTTAGGAGGTTTGTTAGGAAAATAGGACTCTGAGCATTTTTTATTAAAATTTTAATTTTTATTGTATTTTAATCATTTTAAATCTAACATTATCAAAAATTAAAATGCAATAAAATTTAAAATTTTAATAAAATAAAGTCACATTTTTCTAGCAAACCTTTTATTTCACTTTTGAATATGAATAGAATATTATTTTTGAATAATAAAATTTGCTTTGAAATAAACATTATTTTCAAATAAACAAATATTATCTTTAACTGAAAATGTCCTACGCTTCAGATAATAAAGTTTTAAATATAGTTTATAAAGTTTTTTTTTTAATAATATAAAAATAAATAAAAATTAAAAATTTAACTTAAATAAAGAAAAAACTTATTAAAAAATATCAAAACTTTGATTTTAAATTAATGTAAAAAGTTACTAAAATTATTTTTATTTTATTAAAAATATTATTTGTTTGATAATTAACTTTAATTAGTAAGTAAATTCCTTTTAAATTTGAAAAAAAAACCATTGAAGGGATAATAATCAATTAATTTTAATAGATTGATATCTACAATATTATAATTAATATTTATAATAATTTATATTATTATAATTTTATAAATTATTATATAAGAGGTTTACTAAAAAGAAAACTTTTTATTAAAATTGAAAATGTAATAAAAAACTAAAGTGCAATTAAAATTTCAATTTTGATAAAAATTTTTAGAACTTGATTTTTTAGAATACAACTTGTATAATTTCTTTATTAATTAAATTTATATTTATTAAAGCATACTTTGCATATATTAATATCTGGTTAAGATGATGAAATTTTAATTTGCGAAGAAATTTTAACTTGAACTAATTACAGATACTTAATAATTCTAGCGTTACCCTGAAAAATAGTAGCTGGATTTATTTTACCAGTTCATATACATTATTAATATGTGACAAATAGTAATACCTGATAAAACTACCTTTCTTAACACTATTGAGAATAGAAGAATTACAATTCTCACTTAAATATCACAAGTTGCATCATTTTGTTATATTCATACATACTTGGTTGACTGAGTGATCTCACATTTGGGATAAAATTGAATCAATAAAAAGTTGTATAATTTTTGCTTGGTTGATGAAACTTCCAGATTCCAAATCTTACTTTAAAGATGAAATTTATTCTCGATAACAAATGACAATAAAAACGATTTTAATTCAAGAAAGCTATAGATTTATTATACGATCCTTAAGAGCACTTCCACTCTATACATACAAATATTTAAAAAAATAAATATAGATTATTGGAGAAGTCAGTAATATGTTTCTATAATTTTTTTATATTATTTTTCAGTAAAAGTTTTTTTTATTTATATTTAACAATTTAAAGACTTAACGCAAAAGAAGAAAGAAAATGGCTTGACAGAAAAAGTTAAATTCAATCAATATCTTAGTTAAGAATTTTAGATCACTTTTGCATTCATTCGGGTATGAAAGTTATAAAAGAGCTTTTTTACTTTACTAATAGTTTTAACCAGACTGTTAAATATAGGTTAAACAATGTTCTTTCCTAAATGTATAGCTGAACGCTTTAAAATAGTTTATGAATTATTTGAATGGATTATGATTATGTACTGTTAATGTATGATTCTTGCGAACTACAACTGTTAGACAGGGTGTCAGAGTATTATTTCTTTTTAATTACACAGTAATCTTAAGGCTTTTACAAGTTTATTATCATGACTAAATTCAGTTAAAGGTTTCAGATAAAGTTTTTACGAGTATTTCACAATCAACAATTCACAAAGTATCGAGTAATTATATTTTCAAATAAGATATTTATTGATAAGAATAGAAATAAAAATAAAAAAATAAAAGATATGACAAGAAGAAAGAAAAGAAAAGAAAAGAAACGATGTATAAAACTAAAATATAACATGATAGGCCTGTTTGCCTATTAAAAACTACTAAAAACTGACTTGTCAAATCCTACTTTTTACATGGTCTAAAAAGCCATCTATTTATATAAAATACAGTATATAGAAAGATATAACTAATATGTCTAATATATCATATATGTCAAATATGTCCAATATGTCATATATGTCGAATCTGTCAAATATATCTTATTTGTCGATCATATCAGATATATCATATATGTCAGATATGTCAAAAATTTCAAATTTGTTAGATTTGTCAGATTTGTCAGATTTGTTGATCATCTGCATCACGTAGGTCCTATCATATTTTATTCGTTCACAGTACCCGTTTACTTAGTAGAAATACTAATAGCTTTAGTTTATTTAGATTTAAATGAAAGAAAAATTGTACATGTATGCTAATAAAAAAAATTATTATAAATTTTTTGTATATCTTCTATTTAATTAGAAGTGAGATAAATATATATAAAATGAGAAAACGAGCTATGATGACAGTATAAAATTATATAATTTCATTATCTATCAGAGTTTCACATAGACATGATTATATACGAAGTAATAAATCTAACTTCTTTAATAAATAATAGGCAAATGACAATAATAAGAAAAAGGTTTAATAAAAAAGATGCTAATATATCTTTCAATAAAACGTTCCTTTAACTTCAACTGTTTTATTTATCTTATTATTCACATTCACCAATGTGTAAAATCTATGTGCACATTAATTTTTTGTGTACACATATTACACAACATAAAATGTGCACAAATCATTATTAAAAATAGATAAATTATGTATAAAAAAGATAATTTTACATAAGAAAATGTTATGATTTTCTTATTTTCGTAATAATTAATCAATTTGTGTACATAAATTTTAACAGATTTTATACACTGACATTCACTATTTATCCATTCTAAAAAGTTTTTGATATTTAAATTTTGATATCAGTTTGCAATCATCACCGAAAGGTGGTAGAATAAATTCGTATCAGGCAAAACGTTGCGATAAATATGATGCAACATATACATATATCAATGAGTGATAAACATAACTTGAATAAATGATTTCACCTTTTTTAACTACAGGAGAAGGACTCCTGCAAGAGCTGCATAAAATGTTCCCTAAGAAGAAATACTGCGGTCTGGCAAAAGGCTAAAAATTTATTATTAGAATGGCATTTATTATGTAATTAATCAATTACCTTGACAATTTCATACCGGTATAGTAATGTTAATTCTTATTGCTCATTTTCTTTCATGATTTCATAGTATTCAATGAAATAGGTAATCTTTCGGATAATCTCTAACAATACTTAATAAATGTTCTATTCTATCTAGGTAACGTAAAATTTTGTTTAAATATCATACTTATTATATTGAGAATATTTATTATATATTGTATTATCGAATATCAACAATGTTGAATTACGAAGTGCGATTGATAGTTTAAAATTAGACTATCAAAATCATGTGTTTACAATTTACATAAAAAATAAAATTCTCAAGATTTATATAACATACTTTTCAACTTTATGAACCTTAGTTGTTTATTTTTTACTCGTCCTATGATAATTCCCGTTGTTTTTCCTACTCGATTTAATAATTTTTGCCTTTTGAATTCTTGCCGTTCAGGCCAAGAAGAAGTAAAGGGTCATGAAGTATTATGATTTTCAATAAAGGTTTTAGACGAGAAAGCTTAAAATCTGAAGATATAAATTTCGATTGTATATAATGACTTTAATTTTGAAACTAAATTGAACATATAATGTTTCCACTTCTTCATTGTTATTAAATTCTAGAAGTTTTCCCTTGAAGATTTATACAGGAAACTCTGTTAATTGATTTGAACAATTCTTAATTTATACTTATTCTATTATTTTCTATTTAATAAGGATTTATATTCAAAAGAAAATAAATTCTAAATGAAAAAAATTCAAACTCTATTTACTGTATATCATTATTTTATTTAAAATAAATTAATTTATGCTCAGACTTCTTATAAACTTTCATATTCAGATGATAAAAGTAGTCTATTTATTGAGCTTAATAAGCTACCTCTTATTATTAATAAACGTATTTTGATATAAGTCGTATTTTATTAAATAAATAGCTTTGATTTTCGAAACTTAAACTTTAT